ACAACTTTATTTAGATTTGTTTTCTAATTAAAAACAGCATTAATTAGCTATATACTATCTAATGTCTAATTTTTTAAGCTTTAACTTATCTAGTTATCCCAAAGATACCTATGTACAATCTGCTATAGTAACCTTTGTCCTATACTAATATAACTTATAAAGTTTATAAATTACATATAGGTAATAGGAAAGATGCTACAGCTCATCATAACTAACTTAAAAACCAACTTGCTACTACACCTTCCTTTACTTCCCTAGCTATACTATCTAATACTATTTTAAGACTAATATTATAGTTTTCTGTATTCTCATCTACTCTACTACTTGCTTTTCTTGTTATAGCTTCCTTTTTCAATCACTTTTTCTTTTTTTTCACCTATATGAATTTTTCTTTCCTAGAGATTTTTTTTTTTCTCCCATGTTTCTGTGTCTTTGCACTATTTTTTTCAGATTTTTTTATATACTAATTCTATCTAAATATGCTAGAAAAGGCTCCAGAATCTTATTGTCATTCTTTCTGAGCCTAATAAAAATATCAATTATATTTGATTAGACTTTATTTATTATTCTATAATTATTATTATTTTGATAAATTAAATTATTCTAATATTAATTAATATTAATTAATATTAAAAAATTAGTTTTGTTTTAAATAAATATACAAATAATAGTTTAAGAAATTTTAATAAATAATATAAATAAGCTACTATTTGATTTACTTTAAAGCTATAATATAATTATATACTACTACATTATTGCAAACTAGTAATTTATATACAAGATTAGTATAATAGAATTTTAGCAAATTTACTATAGTTTTATATTGAATAGTTCTAGTTTAATAAATAGAAAATTGGTGCTAATATAAAATAAAAATATTTTATAAAATATAATTTACAAATTAATAATATATAGTTATTAAATATATAGCAGACAATAACTAATATTATTAGTATTACTAGTATTACTAATATTATTAGTATTATTAGTATTACTAGTATTACTAATATTATTAGTATTATTAGTTTTACTAGTATTACTAGTATTACTAGTATTATCAATATTACTAGTATTACTAGTATTACTAGTATTATTACATAGTATTACTAGTATTGCTAGTATTACTAGTATTACCAGTATCACTAGTATCACTAGTATTACCAGTATCACCAGTATCACCAGTATTACCAATATTACCAGTTATATTAGATTTACCAAATTACCAATTTAGCTTTTGAGTTACATCAAGTTTTACCAGTTTCACCAGTTTCGCCTGGTGAAACTAATCAGTTTCACCAACAGCTCTACTCCTAAACCCCCTCAGGATATTACGTAATATTAATATTTGTCACTGCCCAAAAAAAATTTCCTAAAATAAAGATTAAATAACAGGCTTTTGCTTAGATATTATGATAACCAATTTTTGTTTGATGGTAAGTTATATTGTTAAGAAATGTATAAAATAGTAGTACTTTAACAAATCAGAGCTCTATAATTATATAGCAAAGTTAAATACTAAAACATCAGTTATATTTTAATATACCAATGTATATTGCTGAAAGCATTATCATCTTTTGTATTTAATCAGACTATCCCTAATTAAAATTATTAATCTAAAACCCATGTCAGATTCCACCCTCGGCACATACTTAATTGTAATCCGCTGAAGGTTAATTTCCCGATATCATCAATTACCCATAAACCCCCATCGCCAACTTCTATATCATTGGTGCTATAATCAAAATCATAAAAATCAATGAAAGAGCTTTTGTCTTTGCCTTCCTTCATCTCAATCTCGACATCGTTCAGTACAACTTTGCTAACTTTTTTATTTGTGACTATTTCATCATATTTTGCATCTGCAACTCCTAGAATAAAAATTTTATCTAATACAAGACCATTATCGTACCCACACCATTTAACATCTGCGATTAAAGTACTTCGATTATTTATCACAAATGAGATGTAAGTATACTCGTCTCCAACATCTAAACTTTCACCATCATCAAAATACAACGATCCTTTGGCGCTTTCGTCTTCATCCAACGAAATTATTAAATAATAATTCGTCTTTCTGCTTTGTGTTGTAGTCATTCTGGGACGTTGCATTGGTATAATATGCCCACCTCTCAAATGTATTGGCATCTCATTCAAAGATGCTTTAATAACAGAATGTATGCCTTGGTCATGAACTTTAAAGCTAACATTATGTGAATAAAAGTTATACCATATTCCAGGTGGTATGTAAGCGTCCTTCACCTCTGATTCGTTTGGCAATAATATAGGTGAAACTAATATTCCTCCGCCAAGCATGAATTGCTTGTCGATTGATAATGCTGATTTGATATGAGGATATTCAATAAATAGAGGTCGTAAGACCATATATCCATACTTGTGAGATTCATAGAAGAGTGTGTAATAGTATGGAAGGAGTGAGTATCGAATACGGAGATATTTGCGAGATGTTGCAGCGACTGATGGCCAGATATATGGTTCTTGTGAACTTTCTAATATTCCATTATGATTCCTAGTGAATTATTTAAAATAATATTAACGAACATAAATACAGTATATTGTTTAATGATTATCATGAAACAAATAGTTTAATTAGCAAGTGTGATGTACCTCATAAAAGGATAAAATGACCCAAGTTGCATCCATCTGAGACATAATTCTTCGGTAGTACGACCATTAAAACCACATATATCCGCACCAACCAAAGGAATGCCGAATATCTGTGTTATTGTGATTGGAAATTGTTAGACAATTTAATAATAAAGATTTTATACATATCTATGCCTACCTGAAAATTCAGTATACCAGGTATTGACAAATATAAATCTTCCCACTACATAAAACAATCAAACCATTAAAATGTCAAAGATAGTAAAAATATTATACACTATACGAATATATTAAACATACATCTGCCGAATTATCGCCTAAAAAAATGCAAATATTATTTTAAGTATATTGTAAGTATTATTACACAAAAAAAAATTTTAACAATAGAATCGACAAGAGAAAACCTGTAGAGAACATTCTTATACATTTTTGAATTCGATTTTCAAATAAGCTATATGGTTATTAGTAGCGCTAAGATGTATAAGAAGGTAATTACAGATTTTGTCTTGACATCACCGTATATATTGAAACTAACCTGTCCAATGCCCGGCATATTTCCCTGTACCAGCAAAAGTTGATCTTGTGATAATAAATGGTCTCTTGCCTTTCCCA